TTTCACTCAGCATAACACCCTCCAGTTCCATCTACGTCATTGCAAATGGCAAGATCTCATTCCTTTTGATGGCTGCATAATATTCCATTGTGTATATATACCACCTCTTCTTTATCCATTCATCTGTCGATGGACATCTTGGCTCTTTCCACAGTTTGACTATTGTGGACATTGCTGCTATAAACATTGGGGTGCACGTACCCCTTCGGATCCCTACATTTGTATCTTTGTGGTAAATCCTGGGTCTCCTTCTGACTTATCTCCTTTTACTCTTCTGTTGGCTCACTCTACTCCAAGCTTCATGATGTTCCTTCATGCTGTTCCCTTCTTAGGGCCTTTAAATATGTTGTTCCCTCTCTTATTTTATTCAGATGTCAGTTCCTAAGAGAAACCTTTCTTAGCCACTTATGCATTGATTTAGGAATAAGACAGTTTAGGTGAATTAATTTTTTCTGGTGATTTTTATATTGCATATGTCTAATAATACTATTTTAATTTATTTTCTAACAGAAAAGAGACGAGACCCCCCAAATGGTAAGCTCTTTGATACAAATTATTGATCTAGAAGATTTTGGATGGTTGTTTAATCCTTTTAGAAACATGTATCATACATTAATACTTAATATTTAATATCTGTGATCAAATACTGTAGTTTATTGTGTCATTTTAAAATAACAAAGATGAGTCTTAGAAATGTACTATTCTTTGGCTTTTTTATAGGATGAAGGAGGACTATGTAGGGTGAAGATCACTATTACATCTTCATTCTATATTGACAATTGGTTAAGTTTAGAAACTGTATAATCTTGACTTAATATCTTCCTTAAAGGTGGTAAATTTTGTGTAGCATACTTGTTCCCTTTTTACTTTAAGATTTGTTTTTTTCTTTTGAAATATTATTTCACACTGGTAATATGAAACTAGCCTCTGTTTCATGAGCACTGACTTTAATGGTGTGTTTAGAAGTAATAGTAGCTGTATATTACCCTCCTTAATTTGATGATGAGCACTTGAAGTATTGAGAATTCATTTAAAAAAAACAAAAACATGTATACCAGAAAGGTGTACATTCCAAAATAAAAGGGAATTCCAAAATAGAAAGGACAAAGTCCCAAATCTTTAGGGCAGAGATTCTCATCCTGGACTCCATAAACCCTCCCTGAAATAGTGTGCTAAATTCTTAAGTGTATATATTTTCTCTGGGGAGAGAGGATGCAGAGCTTTCATCGCATTTAAATTGCGTCCCTGACCCTGTGGAGGTAAGGAACCATTGCTCCAGGAACCTTAATTATAATGGAAAATATGGCTTTTTTTTTTTTTTAAACATCTCATATCCTCTCATTAGAATTTAGATAGCTTATTCCAGGAAACAAACAATATGTGACAGCTATTGGTGATTGTTAGGGTTTGTTTCTCTTAATCAGATATATTTCTGATTTTGTCCTTAAATTTGTTTTCCTGTTATAAAAACATGAACCAAATATTGCTGTATTAAATTTTGGATTATTTACCTTATTATAATTTTTTTAAAAAATGACTACCTTCAGTAAGACTTACCTTGTGCCAAGTATTATATACTTTGTGTCTTTTAAGTGGAAATTTTAATACTTTTTTATAGGACTGCAGTGGAGATTAAACAAAGTAATCAAAGTATTTAGCATAGTATAACTAAATACTGGTTATGATGAAGACAATGACAGCAATAATTTTTTTAGCAGCTACTATGTAATGATCATTTACTACCAGCCACGCACTGTCCAGCAGTCTTATGAAATGGCTGCTGTTATCCCCATTTTATAGAAGAGCAAACAGGGGCAAAGGTGGGTAACTTGCTTAGGGTCACAAAACTAGTAAGTGGTAGAGCAGGATTCAGTCTCAAGCAGTCTAACTCCACAGCCTGGCCCCTTAATCACTATGCTATGTCCATAAGATTTTGAAGGAGAAACTGAGACCTAGACTGGGTAAATAACATGCCTTAAGTTACACAGCTGATATGAGGCAGAGGCAAAGGAAGCAGAAGCAGCTGAGTCAGAAGTCCTTCATCTGTGAACTCTTACAGCAGTGTTAGAATTTTTTTCCCTTGTTTCATGCTCAATATTTTAATCCTTTTTGAATTTATTATTCTGCATTCTGTAAGCATGTGTTGAGTACCAGTGGGGAAGGCTTCCTAGAAGTGGCATCTTTGGGAAAAGTAACCTGAGATTTTAAAGTGTAGATGTTGTATAAATAATATAATTAAAGTTAACAATATAAATACTGTACGGAGTTTTCAGTACATATAAAATGTACTTCTGAAGAGGCACCTAATCCATGAATACACAGAATTTGGATATTCTTTTTTTTTTTAAGATGTTATTTATTTATTTGAGAGAGAGAGAGTGAGCTCTGAGTGGGAGGAGGAGCAGAGGGGGAGGGAGAGAGGGACAAGCCGACTCTGCTGAGGTCATGACCTGAGCCCAAACCAAGAGTCTGACAGTTAACCAACTGAGCTACCAGGTACCTCATGAATTTGGATATTCTTTTTTTTTTTTTTAAGATTTTTATTTATTTATTTGAGAGAGAGAGAGAGAATGAGAGATAGCATGAGAGGGAAGAGGGCCAGAGGGAGAAGCAGACTCCCCGCCGAGCAGGGAGCCCGATGCGGGACTCGATCCCGGGACTCCAGGATCATGACCTGAGCCGAAAGCAGTCGCCTAACCAACTGAGCCACCCAGGCGCCCTGAATTTGGATATTCTTTATGTGACAGTGGTGTCTTGCAATTTTATTACTCCTAGTAGGAGAGGTACTCGTAATTAGAGTTTCTTTCTCTGTGATTGCTCTTGGTTTTAAATCTTTAGATCTGTAGTTTTAACCCTTCAGCACAGTGATCCCAAACTTCTTTTCATTAAATTAGAGTTTAAAAAAATAGTATCATTAAAAGGCAAAATTATATGGCATATATTGCCAGCATTTGTGTATTTCCTTATAAAATATACATATAATATGGTATTAACATACTACATACACAATAAAGGATGAAATAATTAATAGAAGTTTTCATATTTTTTTCCTGCAGTGCAGTCATTTGTCTTGCTCTCCCCACTATGTGGAGACTGCTGTTTTGAGGGCAGCATATTACTTTTCTGCACTTGGTACACTATCAGGCACAGTGGACACCTTAACCATCTTGCTGTGTCCATGCAGGTGCTTTGTCTTAAATCCGCATTTGGATTATCAGTTTAGTAGACTTTGTCAAATTGTAACTATTAAAAAGACACTTTATGTAGAAGTAACATATATTCCTGAAATGCAATTCAGTGTCTTCCTCACTAACTCCTAATCCATACATCTTTCTTTTTTCTTTATTGGTCAGTCTCACCTTTTAGCTTAGACGCTTTCCAATGATTTGTTCTCAGCTTCATGACTGCTTGACATCAGAGGCCTCTGGGCCACCTGTTTCTCAACTATTTTACCTTGGTGAGAGTTCTCTGCTTTTTATGTAATTAAGGGGAAGACTTTAGTTTGTTCTTTTAGTTCTAAAGATTAACTAGAAATGCTGTTCAGTGAGAATATTAAAAAGCCTTTTCTGTGACAGTTGTCTTTAATCAGAAAATGGTGATTTGTCATTTGACTGTTTTTTGTTTTTTTTTTTTTAAAGAAGGGAAACAGCCCCTTCCATTATATATTTACTTAGTATATGTTCTTAGGAAGAGTACAATTTCATAAATGGAATAATTAAATTAATTTTTACTAGAAGTGATTTAAGAGTATCTGTATTACCAGATCTTCCATAAACCTTATTAAAAAATGACCCTGTGCCTTACACAGGTTGTCACTTTTGAAACAAATATTTAATTGGGCTTTAGAACACCGTTTTAAACTTATTTCCAAACATCTTCAAACTCTAAGGTAAATGACTGTTGTCAACAGAAATAACCAAGAACCTAAATCCCATGATTATGTAGGAATTTTTTTTCTAAATTTTGATATATTTATTGAATGATGAACTGTTGAACTATACAAATTGAGAGAACTGATTGGTAAGGAAATGATATAACATTGGTAACATTAGCATTATCAATCACTTTATGGTTTGACTTTAGTGTAAAAAGTACAGTAGTAGTTAATAGGGTAGTAGACTAGGAACCAAGATACAGAGTTCACCTTTGCTTTTGTCACTAATTGTGTGACTTTAGACAGGTCACCTGACTCTTCTCATCCTTAGTTTTTATCTATAAGATGAAAAGTGTAGAAAAACACTTTGATATCTCAGCTAATACTAATTTTCTGTATATCTGTATAATTTGAATTTTCCTGTATAGACTTAAGTAATGTTTTAACCAGTACTAATGAAATTCATGTGTAATGACACTAAATAGCTAATTCAAAGGCTTTATAAACTGCGTGGCAGTAACAATATATCCACACCTCCTTTTGGGGTAGAGGGAGGAGGGAAAACAGTCTGACTGCAGTATGAGTTAAACTTTGTTATTCATTCCACATACCACTTATATCTTGTTCCTGTCTTCTTTATCCTTAAACTTTCTTCAGAGATGGCTGAATTATTTTCTCTAGTGAGTTATGAATCAGGCTTACAAGAATCTTAACTTTATTAAATTTCCCAGAAAAGAATTTATTAGCTTGGATAATTTAAACTATTAAACTTCACTTTACCCAATTCTATTACCATTTAAAAATCCATGGTATAATAATAACTTTTATATAACCTAAAGCAGCATAAAAATATTTTCATCTTTGTTTTTTTCTAAAAACTAATAATAGTTTTGTTATTTTTTAAATGGTGAATCTGGTTGCTTCTTTATAGTTGCTCTTTGAACACCTGTTTCTGGAGGGGTGGTAATGTATAAGGAGAGTGCCTCATTCTGATACTCCTAAATCTGTCTTAAGCTAATTCTTAAATTCTATTAAGTATAAAGATAAGAGTAAGTAGTGTTTTGCGGCATCTTACCATGGATGGTGTTGCTGATACTGATTTGTAAAGCTAAATAATAAGAGGGAAGGCAGAAAAGAAAGGAAGAGAAGTAAAAACAGATCAGTAGATAAGCCTTTGAGTGTGGCACCAATTTAACCCTCCAATACTTGAGTTCTGGGTATTCTCAATAAGTCCCTTACTTTGTGAAACTAGTAAACACTGAAATCTGATACCTGAACAAATTTGAAAATCCAGCCTTTATCAACTATTTCATAAGCCTTCTGTATTGCATAACTAACCTTTAACTTTTGATCCAGTCATTTTTATTATTCCTTGACACTGAATCAGCGTATTTTAATGGTCTTATCCATGTTATTCACTAGCTTCCATTTTTTTCAAATAACAGTTTCTTTATTTCTTGCCGATATGAGCAACTTCCCATGGAATTTTATATGAAAATACAAATAGAACTTTTAGACACTTACATGTAAGTAGACTTTGAATATGGAGGGAAAATAGCTGAATTTTGGTGATATTAAAAATACAAATCTTTCCAAATTGTTTACTTGTCCGATAAAGTGGTAGGTGGCTTTTGTAAATTTATTTTAGCTCTATATCATCTTGAATAGTAGAGTTGAAAGAGAGAACATGGGTTATATATAATTTACCCATTTAGATAAACATTGTTCTTTCATATAACTTTAATGAATAGGCTACATTTGAGGTTTTTAATGCAGTTGAAGAAATACAGTCAAAATAGCATTTAGTTATCACCTAATATACATTAGCCTGTAATTTCTTGGGATTTCTGTTTTCCATTCTATGATTGTGTCAGGGGTCCTCAAGACCACCCCACAGCTGATTTGCTAGAAGGACTCAACAGGACCAGACATATAGTGGGATACTCATGGCAAAGATTTACAACAGTGAAAGGATATAAAACAAAATCAACAAAGGGAAAGGCATATCGGGTTAGTCTGAGGGAAACCACATACAACTTTGCCGTAGTCTTCTCCCATTGGAGTCGTGGGGAATGCACATAATTCCTCCAGTAGTAAGTTGTTAAAACACATGGTAAATGTTGTCTAAAAGAGAAACTCATTAGGGACTCAGTGCCCAGAGTTTATTGGGGGTTACTCACGTAGTCCTCCTCTTTCTAGCACATACCAAGATACTAGACTCCCAGAAGGAAAGCAGGTGTTTAGCACTAAGCACATTGTTAGCACAGATCGTTGAGGCACAATGAGCCCATCTTATCAGAGAATGATAAAAACCCTCTTGCAATCCCAGTTTCCAGATGCCAGCTCAGAGCAAATCTTACAAGCAGCCCTTTCTAAGGATGGCAGTCTCGGGCCTGCTGTGTTAACTGTTTCTCTGCGCAATAGTGGTTGCATTTTATACACCATTTTGAAAGTTGTCATTAATGTACTCATCTCAGAGGAATTTTCTAATAAGAGATTTTGTCAGAGAATCCTATATTAAAATGGACTCTCTAAGGAACATGTGATGCCATTTAGTTAAATTTATAAGGAATTTTTAAATTGAATACATTTCATTTAGACTGTCATGCTTTTAAAGCCAAGGATATTTTTGTGGATTATGAAACAGGTTTTGTATATTATATTTAGTGTCACTCCTAAAGGTGCTATTATTAATATCTGAAGATGCTGGAGATTTTCACTATTGATTCTTGTGGAAGATGAGTGTTTTGAGAATTTTTCCATCTCATTTTTGAGCCCTGTACTTCCAAAGTCAAAGTGTATGTATACTGATAGGGAAAATATTATTGGACTTACATATGGTAGTTTTGGAAAAAATAGTAGTAATAATTGTATAAGTACTTTTTTTCCCTTATGGACTAATAAAGTTGAAACAAAGAAGTAAGACTACATTTCTGTGTCAGATTAAAAAAAAAAAAGTATATGCTCTTTTTAAGTTTTATTATGCTTGTTATGTCATATATACCACTTTACCAACAAGTAATGGGTTGTGTGTAAGGCTATTATAGTCAAAATTTAAGGGATTTGCACCAATTAAATTTAAATTCTTATTGAAAATTTTTATTTTCCATGAGATTTAACGTTACAAAAATATACGTTCTCTTTGAAATACCATCTATGCTAATGTGTTTAAGAATTTATTATAGGCTTTTGAAATTTTGGCAGTACTTTATCCATTATTTTATAAAAAATTAACATGCAACTTTAAAATTTAAATTAGTGAAGTGGTCCTACTTCAGAGAAAGATATTTAAATTATAAATTATGAATGTAATTGTTATCTTAAATTATATCCTTTTCATATTGTTTTGCAGGTCCTAATCTACCCATGGCAACAGTTGACATAAAAAATCCAGAAATCACAACCAATAGATTTTATGGTCCACAAGTCAACAATATCTCCCATACCAAAGAAAAGAAAAAAGGAAAAGCTAAAAAGAAGAGATTAACCAAGGCAGATATTGGAACACCAAGCAATTTCCAGTAAGAGAGTTCTTTTGTTTTTCTTATCTTTTCATTTACTCACTGCTGCTCTTGGTTTTTACCTTGTTAGAAAATTTTGTTTTCTTTTTTGGGAGGACCCTTGCATTTATCACTTGCATACTTTTTTTGCTATAGATTTTTTTGGAGTTGGGTTTTTTTGTGTGTGTATGTGTTTTTGTTTTTGTTTTTTTAAGGCTATTGCTCAGTAGACTTCCTGTGCATCTTACAGTTTATTTACCCTTCTACTCATCAGGAAAGAAAAATCAGATTAAGTTGTTTCTTTAAATAACTGTTGGACATAATGATTTCTCACTTTTTCCCTATAAATGGTATTTGGAAATTGCCTAGATGCACTGTGTTAGTCCATTTGGGCTGCTATAACAGAATACCATAGACTGAGTGGCTTATAAACAACAGAAATTTATTTCTATAGTTCTGGAGATTGGGAAGAGGCAGGCAAAATTTAGTGAGGTTCCACTGCCTGATTAATAGACAGCTGTCTTCTAGCTGTCTTCCTCACATGTTGGAAGAGGGCAAGAGGGACGTTTGGGTGGCTCAGTTGACTAAACGGCTGCCTTCGGCTCGGGTCATGATCCCAGGGTCCTGGGATCAAGTCCCTCATTGGGCTCCTTGCTCAGCAGGGAGCCTGCTTTTCCCTCTCTCTCTGCTTGTGCTCTCTCTATCAAATAAATAAAATCTTTAAAAAAAAAAAAAGAGGAAGAGGGTAAGAGAACTCTCTGGGGGCCTTTTTTTAAAGGGCACTAATCCCATTCTTGAGGAATCCACCCTCAAAACCTAATCACCTCCCTAAATCCTTACCTCCAAATACCATCACATTGGGGATTAAGTCTCAATATAGGAATTTTTAGGGGACACAAACATTTAGTCTGTAGTAGGCATCAAACTTTTGGTATTTATTTGACATATTTTAAGCATTTTCATATACATCATTTATTAGCTCATTACAAAGTTCGTATCCTCTCATGTATATATGCTTATATTCTTCTGCTAGTTTGACAGTTGAGGAAATGGATGCTCAGAAAGATTGTGCAAAAATGTTAAAACTCGGTTTTAATCTGGCCTCCTGACTCCTCACACAGTTTTTTACCTGAATATGGGTATGTATGTGAGAACTATTAGTTCAGGCCCAAAATTTATTGGTTGGATTGGAGTTCATATATTTTATGTTTTAAATGCTTTTTATGTATTTTCTATTTTTTATTTATATGTATTTTTGGTCTACTTCTTTAGGCACATTGGACATGTTGGTTGGGATCCGAATACTGGCTTTGATGTAAGTGTCTTTTCAAGCCATAAATATTATTGCTCTAAATATGTGGTAATGCTGTGCCCTATGGATAGATTTTTATTATTCATTTTTGTGAATTCTAGCATTTATTTGAATGTATTTATGTATATATACCACTGAGGTTGGAAACCTTAGTATTGTTCTGTCATTTATGGCTATGTCTGTAAAGACAAAGGTTTTATACTCCTTGGAGTATACAGTACTTATGTACTGTAATACAGGGGTGCCTGAATGGCTCAGCCTGACTCTTGGTTTCGGCTCAGGTCATGATCTAAGGGTCGTGAGATCGAACCCCGTGTCAGCTCTGCACTCAGCCAGAGTCTGCTCAGGATTCTCTCTCTCCCTTTCCCTCTGCTGCTCACCTGCTTGCTCTCTCTCTCTCATAGATAGATAGGTAGATAGATAAAATCTTATATACTGTAATATAAAATTCTTGTGTGTTGCCAGCCAAGAGAAGAAAATTATTTCTGCTAACTGATCATTTTAGAGGAATGTATACCAAATTACTGGAAAGTACTATAACCAAATTCTGAATATCCAGTTGTTAAATTATCTAAATCTTTTCATTCTATTCTTTTGGGCAGTTTTGTCATTTAATTTTTAGCACTATGAGCAAGGTAGGCAACTGCTGGCAAAAATAAGCATTTTTAACATTTTTAATCTATTTTGGTTGCTTAAGTAATATGTATTTCACATTTGACAGATAACCAGGATTTGGAAAAATTATTTTGAAGAGAAATATTATTTGTGATTGTGGGTCAGAAATCCTTCTGGGTTTTTTTGTTATTAACTACAATGTTAACTCCACAACATTTATTGGATGCTTCTTTATGTTGGGCTCTGTACAGGATGCTGAAGTTATAAGGAGGTCCTTTCTTCAAATTTTCAAGTTGACTTACTTTTTTTTGTTTATTTGTGATTATACCTAAATCTTATTTAGTTAACAGGTGAACACTGGAGATGTCTGAATCAGGAATGGGTTAGTAAAACTCTAAATGAGATGCCTTCTTTTTGAAGATAGGGAACAAAAAAAGAAAAATTTATTCTTTGTTCTTATCTTTTCTGTTTTTTAAATAAGAAAGTTTAGTTGGCTTATAAATGACCATGTTAAAATTGTATAAATTTAAAATAATTTCATAAAGGGCACAGGTGAGAACTAAATTTGAATTTGATCATGCTTATTTTTAAAAATTGGGATAGATTTTATAGTTAACAGTTACTTTATCTGTTGTAGCTGAATAATTTGGATCCAGAATTGAAGAATCTTTTTGATATGTGTGGAATCTCAGAGGCACAACTTAAAGACCGAGAAACATCAAAAGTTATATATGACTTCATTGAAAAAACAGGAGGTGTAGAAGCTGTTAAAAATGAACTAAGAAGGCAAGGTAACTTTTTTTTTTTTTCTATTCAGGCATTCAAATCTTTTTTTCCTTGTGAATCTTTTGAGGTCAGTTTCATGGAAGACAGCTACACACATTCATGTGAACTTTCCTTAAGCAGAATATTTGAATTTATAGATAAGTAGCTTGGCCTGGCTGCTTTGCATTATTTTGATATAACTTAAAAATTTGATAAGGTTTTTCTTATTAAAAACTCTTCTTTGCCACCTTATTCATTTGGGCATGCTTTTCTTCTTCCTAGTTTTTGTGTACTGGAACAAAAGCTCTAGTTAAAGCATTCTTCTGAAGAATTTAACTGTCATTTTAAATTAGGGGTTTGACTTACCTGTATCTTTTTCACTACTGATGTTCATTCGGTCTTTCATTCATTCATATATTCAGTAAACATTATTATGTCAGCACTTGTCTTCACTCAGGATATTTAGATGTAAATAAACATTTTCTGTCCTCAGAAATCTTACAGTCTAGTGTGGAAACAGATACTTAAACAAGTATATAGTCAGTAACTGCTATTGTAGAAACACACTGTTAGGTTTAATGAAACTAGTGTGATGCTAATTTCTTATTTTTTGAAAAAATTACATCTCCAGAATAGATTTTTAATAAAAACACCTTGGGCATAGCACCATTGTTGTTTTTAAATGCTCCCAGAGTGAGTCACTTTTACTATTAGTGTGTTCCTTGACTCTCTTTTTGTCCACTGTTACCACACACTTTGGCGTTACTCTACTAGATGTCGCCTGGCATCTCTCTGAGCTCTCTGAATTTTTAAGTTTATAAATCACTCTTGACGTTTACTAGACCATCCGTACATCTGCCCTCAAACCTGAATTCCGGTGACTAAGAGTTGATTCTATTACCCTGATTGGGTTTGTTTTTTAAACTTTATTGTGATTGCTTTTTATTTTAGCTGCTTTTAAAGCATCAAATTAGGCAAAGTCTCTCCTCAGTTGAATTACCTAAAACAAAAAAATATACAGGCATTAAAAAAACATGCTTTGGGAACAAAGTTAAATTCTTGTCATACTCAAGAACCTAACTCCCAATGTGGAATCTTTTAGACACCAAAGAATTATTTTATAGAAGGTAAATTTTTTCAAAGGAAGAGTAAAAAGACTAATGATTTATTAAGGAAATGTTTTCCAGGCAGAACATATAATGTGTAGTAATCCATCTGCAAGGACAAGTATAAAAAAAATTAGAGAAGTTTATGAAGTTACCTTAAAAATATATTTTGTAAAAAAATATATATATATTATATATATGTAGTAAAATCTACTGATCAAATCTCTTGAAACTTGTTTTGTAAAATTATGTAATCAGGTTTATAAAAGTAGTAGATTTGTGATTTCCAACATATTTTTTGTGTGTCTGTGCAGTTTTTTGAAGGCCATTAACTCTGGTGCCTGGGTGGCTCAGTCGTTAAGCATCTGCCTTCGGCTCAGGTCATGATCCCAGGGTCCTGGGATTGAGTCCCACTTCGGGCTCCCTGCTCAGTGGAGAGTCTGCTCCTCTGTCTGCCCACCCCCTGCTCGTGCCCACTCTCTCGCTCTCTCTCTCTCTCCCTCTCTCGCCAAAATAAATAAAATCTTAAAAAAAAAAAAAATGAAGGCCATTAACTCAATAATCTGTGTAGGTCCACCACAGTGGAGTGGTATGTATGTGGGATGTTATTTGACCCAGTGCTCTAAATTATGCATGCTTTGATATGTTTACTTTCAAAGAAGCTAGAGTTCATTTATCCTGCTTCCAAACATCCAGGGAGATTATTTGTCCTCTACTCAAACTAATTTATTTCTGTATGAGTCTGAGCTCATATTTCATCTGTACTTTAGATAATTGTAATGAAATTACGTGGATATTTTAAAAACACCTCTTACCCACAGCACCATTGTTTTTATTGTTGCTTATTATACTTATTCCTAGTGATTGCTTTTCACACTTGGCATTATTTCAGTAACCTGAATAAGATATACTTAGATTTTTACATTAATTTGGGTTAGGGAGGGGGTACTTAATATAAATAAATATGGTTCTACTCAGGGAGTTGTCAGTATTCCCATAAATTTAAATTTGTGTTGAGTAGCATTTTTCTGTTTGCTTTACTTTGATGAGAGTACATGAGAGCAGTTCTTTAATGGTTCCTGAATTCTATAATACTACATTTCTTTTAAATATTAGTTATATTTATATTGCTTTATAATTTCTGCTAAAATACCTGTAAATGTCAAATATCTAGAGAGTTATCTATTATTCTTAATGTTGATCTGCAATAATAATAATTTTTAAGTATATGAGCTTTTTTTGTAGTATAACCTCAAGACAAGGTTTTTTTCTGTAAGTGCCAGTCTTCCTTTTTAACTAAATTTTGATAGTAAGAAGTTTTATTGGTTGTAACTTTTGTTTCATATTTTTCACTTTATTTCTTTTTTAGAAATCTAAGAAGTATTGTCATTCTGATGCTGGTGTTTGTGGTGACTCATAGAGTTTTGCAAGTCTCTAGGCCATCAGATTTTCTCTTGGTCTGTGTGGTATCTGCTTAGCAGGCATATTTGTGCATGGAAACATCTAACACCCATTGTGCCCTTTCCTCTCCTTTTTTAATTCTTTCACATTTTTACATTGGGATAAGGCATGTTTTTTGCATATTTATTTTTACATAGAAGTAATACAGACTATAAAGAAATAGAAAGTTGGTAATAGATTTTCCTCATAAAAATAAAGAGATCTTTCCAGTCACATTTCAAGATCATAGAAATGCTGAACTTGTGCTGTACCCAAACTGGATGCAGTTAATAATTTACACACAGTCAGTTAAGGCTTCCTTTCCCCTAGGCAATGGTTTTAATGTCCATTCCAATGAATAATAGCTAGAGTGCAAATTATTCCAATAAAGGTACTTACTACAAGTTCGAAAGAACTTTTATTCTCTCTACTGAAGAAATAGATTATTTTACATATAAAAAAGATGGTGGGTTCAGAGTCCTCAATGAGACTATGAGAAATGATTTACTAATACTTTTTATAGTAGGATACGGTGGGTATTTTCCTCTTAATTAACAAACAAGTAAATCATAACTATTTGAAATATAAACCTTAGACTGATTAAAAATGCTGGAAGGAGGGGCGCCTGGGTGGCTCAGTCGTTAAGCATCTGCCTTCGGCTCAGGTCATGATCCTGGGGTCCTGGGATCGAGCCCCGCATTGGGCTCCCTGCTTGGCAGGAACCCTGCTTCTTCCTCTCCCACTCCCCCTACCTGTGTTCCTGCTCTTGCTGTCTCTCTGTCAAATAAATAAAAAATCTTAAAAAAAAAAGATTTTTATTTATTTGACAGAGAAAGACACAGTGAGAGAGGGAACATAAGCAGGGGGAGTGGGAGAGGGAGAAGCAGGCTTTCCGCTGAGCAGGGAGCCCATTGCGGGGCTCGATCCCAGGACCCCAGGATCATGACCTGAGCCGAAGGCAGATGCTTAACGACTGAGCCACCCAGGCGCCCCAATAAAAACCTTAAAAAAAAAATTGCTGGAAGGATTTGATGTACTGACCCTATTCAGAGTGTATGTAATACATTTATGTCATATCCTCCTGGTTTTGCTCTTTTACTAGAAAATATGTTAGAAAAGGACTTTGCTTTTAGCAAGTTTAATAAGTCTCCTCACTTTGGATCCAGTGAGAGAATTGGGTGGACCTTAGCTGCAACACTCAGACCTCCAGTGTGCCTTGAATGTAAATCATAGGAACTTCCCTCTGTGATGGCTGACATCTAAGTGGGGTAACTCTCCTGTTTGCAGATATATATTATTTCTACTTTTAAAAGTTTGTATGCAAGGAGACAATACCCTGTGAGTATTGGTCTTTCTGCATATTTTATCTAATGTTTATATTTGGTAGCATATTTCCCATGATTGCCCCAAGTTAAATTAGAAGATACCTTCTATTTCCTTTGAAATGAGGGCTTTTTCCCCTTCTCTGGTATCATTGTATTATTGAACATCTAAAGGTACTTGTTATTTGTAGTTAGGGTTGGCATTAGTATTTTGTAAGATTGTAGAACTATCCCTCAATGATACAGTTTATATCAGTAAATACAGATGGTTTTTATGAATTCTAGGATTTCTCTACTCCTAAAAATAGTCAATTTTTCTCTCTAGTCTTTAAATGAATGGAGAAGTAATGAAGTTCATTATTATGTAAATTTGTGTATACTGTTGGTAAAATCATGCCTCCAGAAATATAATAAATGTGTACCTTGAATTTTTTCCTTGTTATATCTTACATTTTTACTTAAGGAGAAAAAGAATGTGAATATCATTAATACCAGAATAGTCTTAATATTTTATTAATAACTTTAGTTCGGTTTTTCAGTGTGTAGAAATTCTGTTAATTTTTTAATAGTTAGTTGTGTCTTCTGAATAAGTAGTTGAATATTTCACCTGAGTAAGCCTCCCTTACTGCCATCACTAGAATTACTGACCATCTTGTATAGAAAATAGAAGACATAAAATATAAACATAAGGTGGCAAAGGTTTAAAATTTTAAAAGAAAAAGTATTCAGTTTGGGTTTAGCTCAGATTAACTTGAATAAACTCTGGTATGTTATGCTACATCAGCTATTTAATTCTGAATGTAAATTAATTTTATAAAATAACTAACACTCAGTTCTTTAAAGAGGGAAGGTATCCATTAATTTTTATGAAAATGTTAAATAATGCTAATTGACCAAAGTGTTTAATTTTGTTGTGATATTTTTATTTAAGAAAGCGCTTATTCCCTTACCTTCAGAAGTGATGCTGATTCCTAAAAACTAAATTCTACAGTTTTAGCTAATATTTTTCAAGAAACGACAAGAAGGTGCTCTTAAGTTGAGTATTCCCAAATAGAATGATATCATCTGTGCTCACATATCTTTGTAAAATAAGATACAAAGATGAGGCCTTTTTTTTCCTCCTATAATTTTTTTTATATATGTTGAAGTAAGTTTTTTTTTCCAGTATGATGTTTGTGGGGGGGAAAAAGTATGCTTTCTTTTTTTCTGTTTTTATTTCAGCACCACCTCCTCCACCACCATCTAGGGGAGGGCCGCCTCCCCCTCCGCCCCCTCCGCATAGCTCAGGCCCTCCCCCCCCCCCTGCCAGGGGGAGAGGTGCGCCTCCTCCACCACCGTCTAGAGCTCCCACAGCTGCACCTCCACCACCGCCTCCGTCCAGGCCAGGTGTGGGAGTCCCTCCACCGCCGCCAAATAGGATGTACCCTCCTCCACCTCCAGCCCTGCCCTCTTCAGCACCGGCAGGGCCTCCGCCACCACCTCCGCCTCTGTCGTTGGCGGGGTCAGCAGCACCGCCCCCGCCCCCACCCCCACCCCCTCCACCGGGGCCACCACCTCCCCCTGGCCTCCCTTCTGATGGTGACCATCAAGTTCCAACTCCTGCAGGAAACAAAGCAGCTCTTTTAGATCAAATTAGAGAGGGTGCTCAGCTAAAAAAAGTGGAACAAAACAGTCGACCGGTATCCTGCTCTGGAAGGGATGCACTTTTAGACCAGATACGACAGGGTATTCAGCTGAAATCTGTAAGTAATCTCTTCTTTTCAGTTTAGACTATCTGTCCTAATGGAATTTTTAAAGTAATTTATAAGACAACTTGGAAAGTCTTTATTTCACTTTTTGCTCTTTCTCTTGGTATTCATATTTTTAACCCTTTGAATTTCTGATATTTTTACATACAGTAAAACACACACATTTATACCTATACCAGTGTAACCCATACTTCTGTAATCGAAATATCACCCCAGAAAGTTCCCTCATGCCTCTTTCCAGTTAGTCCCCCTTTCAGAAAGATCACCAATCTGATTTCTGTCACCGTAGATTAATTTTGCCTGTTCTAGAACCTCATGTAAGTGGAATATTCCAACATGTTTGCTGTTGTTCTAGACTTCACTTCTGAATAAAATTTACTTTAAAATTTAAAGAAAAATCTTCAAACTATAGAGAAGTAAACCCTACTTATAACTAATTGTAATCACCTTGGTAAGTTCAGACCATTACCTTTATGAAAACTAAACTGTATTCTAAAGTTCCTGTGTTCTGAAAATTAGATTAGTAGAAAATCCGACTCTGCAGAAAAAGGAAAGAAATCTCTGTACTGGATGAGGCAGAAGTGGGCAAACTGGTTTTTTTGAAAGGACCACATAGTAAATATCTTAGGCTTGCAGGGTATGTGGTCTCTGTCACAACTACTCAGTTCTGGTGTTGTGCCATAAAAGCAGCAGCATTGACGATGCATAATTGAATGGGCATGGTTGTGTTCTATAAAGCTTTATTTAGGGACACTGAAATTTGAATTTCATATAATTCTCACGTGTCACAAATATTATTATTTTGATTTTCTTCCAGCCACTTAAAAATGTAAAACTCATTTTTCACTTTAAAAAGTTCTACAAAAAATAGGACACACTAGGTTTGGCCCATGGGCAATAGTTTGCTCACCGCTTTTCTAGAACCTAAACTGCCTGCATTGACATACTTCCTTCTGAGAGTACATGTAGTCTGTCATTTCCAACAGGAACATTTGCTCTGCGGGGCTTCAGACAGGTAACGGACGGTAGATTTTTCTATGCAGTAAATAAAGATGAAAGAAGGGGATTTTGATTGAAAATTATTTTGTGACCTAAGGAATTATGGTAACTTTCTCAATCACCAAAACTTTAGCTAGGAAGAGAATGGTGGATAGGGAACACAGCTAATTGAATGAAAACATTTAAACATTGGCATAGCACAGATTTAAAAAACTCTGATCTTTAAAATGTATCTAGAGCTTTTTCTTACCACGTGATTAAGCTGTCTGCTCCCTCTCCCCCTTTAGTTTAGACTAAAGGTTTCTCAGGAACAGTTGAAGAATTTTGAACAGTTGTTAGTGGGAAGAATTAGTGTCAAAATGCCCATAGCCACGGTGAATAACAGGTTTTAATGGAGTCATTTTCAAACTTGTAGCTTAGAATCTGTGCCACTTATGTGTCACTCATTCCCACATCTGCCACTCTTAACTTACCTTTTGTTTCTCTTTCCTCTCTCTTCCACAGTCAACTTTGTTTCTTTCTCTCATTTGCTGATACTAATAAGGTGTTAAGTTTAATGAATTAAGTTGTCCTCTTTTTTTAATTTAAAAAGTTGCTAAATTAAATTCCCTATTTATTTTCCCCATCATCATTTCTTCCCATCCCAACTCTCTCTCTGTCCAAAAAAACCCTGTAAATTGATCTCTGCATTTCTTTTAGAAAAAGAAATGTGTGTTCCATTCTAAGTGTAGGCCATCCTTACCCTAAATAATCACCTTTTTTTTTTAATTAACTGCTGAGTAATATCCTAGAGGGCATAAATCAGTGAATGATTAGCATGTTATATATGTGATCTGAGTCCATAATGTTATTTCCTTTTTAAGAAACCATTCTGTGGTTGAAGTTTCTCTGTTTCTTTAAACAGTCTATATAAATCATTTATTAAGTGATGAAAATTACTAACATAAGATCATAGATTTACTTCAAAGAGCTGGCAGGAAAGGTGTAAGTATTCACTTGTATATATTTTGAATTCCATGTTCATAGTACCTCGGACAGCACCATGTCTAAGTCAGTGCTTTAGAAAACATGTTTACGGCAGTGTCGTGCTCCTGCATTGCTCCCTGCCTCGTATTACCAGCTTGCTTAAGGGGAGTCTGTTTCTCCTTATTGCTGCTATACTTCTTTGAGAGCCTCATGCTGACATTCAGAGCTCTGAAACTATTTCTGTTGTCTTTTTCATTTGTGGCATTTCTATACCAGTAATAGTTAACATCTGGTCTCTAAAAACCTAAATACTAATGAATGAGTCAGTATTTTATGGGGAATTACTTCGACTATTTTTAAAAGAAAAAGATCTGTAAATCCAGAAAGACAAATAGTATTAGGAGAAGAGCTGCGAAGACCAAAATAAGAAGTTTGCCATAACAAAGTAATTTTTGGTGGTGGGGGGGGATGACTTAGAATTGAAATGAAACAGCTGTGTGATTTCATTTTTAATTATACCAGTATTCTAGCTTTACAAAGGTAATATAATTCCAGAGACAAAATTAACACAATGACTATTTTGTATAAATGACTGTTCATTTTAGTCAAAGTACACTTAGAGGAGTACTTTCTAAATTTTTTTCCCTGAATCTCAACAGATTTCCTGTATTCTCTCTTTTTTAATGAGAGTTGGAATCAGGGAGTATTTTGTATAGAAATTAGATTTTAATGAGACCCCTTGAGGTTGATTTTTTTTCCCCCCTTGAATGTAGTTTATACTAGATAGAAGTACTTTAGTTAGGGATAGTTGGTTGCCTCGTGAGGTAGGTATATTTTGAAAGCTACATAACTGATCTCCTTAAAGAGATTAACTTCTCATAATGCTATGAGAAAATTCATTTTGAGTTAAAATTATATATAGGTATAAATATAGTATATAAGGTGATAAAGCTTGTTAGTAAAGCTGAGTTTTTCTAGGAGAGCAGAAGTCTCTTCATTTGCTCTTAGATATCTTAAGTGTCCTCACCTAACAACTCCAGGAATCTGGACATTACCTTAGTTTTGTTAAAATGATGTTCCTTGATAATAGTTTTAAAGTTTCATCAGCTAAGGCTTTGTGTACTAGAATGAAAATGAACAGAAGTAATCCATCTGCAAGGACAAGTATTATTTAGGGAAGGGTTTGTTATTCTAATAACAAATGTGTTGTTGGCTTTATACATTAAGGAGTATATGAATAATTATTTTAACGCAGCAGTTTATTTCTTCCTAACTTAGTTAATCCTGTCCTGGGTTTGTGTGCTTTTTTTTAATCCCTTTCCTTTTTTTTTTTTTTTTTTTCCTTTCCTTTTTTTAAATAGGTAGTGATTCTAAAAATGTCAGACTTTCTGGAGACAAAAATTTTTTGCTAAGAATTTATTTCTAAATTTTGCTAACTTTTTTTCCAAGGTATCTGATGGCCAAGAGTCTACACCACCAACACCTGCACCCACTTCAGGAATTGTGGGTGCATTAATGGAAGTGATGCAGAAAAGGAGCAAAGCCATTCATTCTTCAGGTATATTTACATGTACATATGTATATTTAATTTTAATATTTGAAGTTCTATTTTCTTTTGATTTTATGATAGTCTTTGCTAGCTTTTCCCCTGCTATTGAGTAACACTGATGTGGATTTTAGGACAGATTTTTTTTAAATTTAGGACAAATTTTTTAAAAGTTACTGCCACTGTGACTAGTCTGTCTGAAGCTTAATGGATTTCAGGACACCATAGCCATAACCATAAATTGGAAGAACAACTTCAGAGAAATAGCAGTTTCATTTCCTATACTGGAAATACTAATAGAATGCCTGGCAAATCTCTAAATTAGGCTTGAGACTCTGGATCTCATTCCTGTGACATTCTTGTGACATGAGAAATTCCGGTTTCCCTGATTTGTGAGAATCAGGGCTGAGAAACTGGGTTTTCTGGGATTTGCTAAAGTATTTTGAAGTTTTTTGTGCCCTCTTGTGATTTCCTAAGAGGTTTATTTGAATAAACTTGTCCCTATTCTGAGGCCATTATTAAGCATATGTATACCACCATATAAGTGGATATTACTTTCAAAAGAGAAAGCAGTGGGTCTTGATATAACACTTGAGGTTTACTAAAGAGCTTCCCAGCATGATGTACCAGAATCAGATCTCTGTTCTTATTAAATCTATTATTTACTCTCTATCAACCTGTTTTCTTATTTGTTATGTGGAAAGAATTTATGAATCATGATTGATATGAAGAATAAATAAAATAATATGTAACTAACCAGCAGATTACTTAGCACATAGTAAGTGCTCAGTAAATGTCATTTTTCTTCTCTGTGTTTTTCTGTAAGAATGTGGATATCTAGGATCTATTACCAATATTTATTTTCCTTAAATAGACATATTTATTTTCATACTGTGTGATAAAGAGAGAATAGGCTATTTCATTCTGCAAATATTTATCATGGAATAATAATAATAAAAAAAAATCCCTGCCTTCATGGAGCATGAATGGATGCATTGGAGACAAACAGTAAACAAAGTTAGAAAAATATATGTTAAATGGTGATATGTACTAAGGACAAAAATTAAGCAGAAAGGGAGATATAAGGACTTATAGGATATGGGAAGGAAATTCATTTTGAAATAGGATGAGGCCTAACTGAGGTGACATTTGAAAAAAGACCAGGAGTTTAGGGAGTAAGCCATACAGAAAACTGGGGAAAATGTGTTCATTCAGATGGAAAGAACAGCAAATGCAAAGTCCCTGAGGTTGAGGAACATCAATGAGGCTGGTGTGGCTGATGAAAGAATAGGAAGGTAATGAAGTAAGAGAGATGGTAGGAGGCCAGTAGTAAGGCCTTGGAGGCCATGAATGTGATGGGAAGCCACTGGAATGGCAATAATCCAAGCAAGAGATAGCAAAGGTTTGAATCAGACTGGTAGCACCAGTGAGCTGGGATTGGGTACTAGGTATATTTTGACTGTGGAGATCCTTGAGTTTGCTGATGGGTTGGAAGTGAGGTTTGGAAAAAAGAAAGGAGTGAAGGATGACTCCCAAGATTTTTTACTTGAGCATGAAAGGGGAGAAATTTTCATTAACAGAGTGGGATAAGATTTAGGAGGAGCAGGTTTGAGAGGAAAGATCAGGAGATTGGTTTTTGTAAATATTAAATTTGAGATACTTATTAAAATTCAAATGTAGATGTTATGCAGGCATTTGGTTATGAACCTGGAGTTGAGGGGTGAGGTCTGGACTGTTAAAATAAATTTTGCATGTCATTAAAATAGGCGTGGTATTTAAAGTTACAGAATGGGATGGGATCATTAAAGAAGTGGATGTGAAAAGAGAAGGTGTAATAAGGTCTGAAGGCTGGAGAGTGCAGTGTCTTAGAAGCCACATGAAGTGTTTGAAGGAGGATGGAGTGACGATCTGGGTCAAATGTATGTGATTGGACAAGAAAGCGAGAACAGGAACTTGAGTTTTAGCTTTAGCAACAGTAGGTTATTGGGGACCTGGAAAGAGCAATGTCATTGGGCTCAGGAGAGAATAGGAGGGTAGGAAGGGAAGGCTGGGTATTTGGACTGCCTGCTCTGTTCGTTAGTACTAGGCTCAGTGTCCTCAGTATCAATGAGTTTCCTGCCTGTCACTAGAATTATAACTGGAATTGGTAGCTGAACAATCAGGTGTAATTTTTTACAACTTTTCTTTAAAAATAGTCATTAAAGGGGCCACTCTTGGATTTGAGATGTGTGAAAATTCAGAGAGGCTAACACAAATGTGGGTTTTCATATAAAGAAACACTGGTTGAAATTCACTACATAGATACTACGGAACTAGAACCCAAGTCTTCTGACTCGTGTTCTAATCTTCAACTGACCATCCTACTCTTTAGATGTATTTTATTTGATTCATTTTAAATTGTCCTAGTAACCAGATTCCTCCAGAATCGAATGGTTTTGTTTCAGAAGTTAAATAATTGGAGGAATCATCCAAGAATCATGTAATGTTATTTTATTTATACATATGTTTTGATTGTTTGCCTTGGTGATTTTTTTCCAGATGAAGATGAGGATGAAGATGACGAAGAAGATTTTGAGGATGATGATGAATGGGAAGACTGATCTATATATTATATATATATATATATATTTTTAAGGTGAAATACTAAACACTACTTTCTGTCTATGGATTCTGTAAAATTATCATGTAAATGTTCTACCAATTTGCTGTATATTTTTGTTGCCTTTTTTGCTTTTTTTTTATTAATCTGTGCAATACCTCATTTAATCTGTAAAGGTTTGTCAAAATCCTCTACAAAGCTACTCCCTGTTATTGTGTGCAAGTTTACACCAGGATGCTCACTTAATTTGTGAATATTTTTCATTCCATCAACAAGGGAGTTTAAATATTATTTGTGAGACTGACAAAAACCTTAATGTAATTTAGTTATAATGCCAGAAGGAAAAACACTATTTTCATACCCTACTTTTTCTGTACCTAAATTTTCTTATTAAAATCTAGTGTAGCACTACATTCTTTTTTAAGTGATACAGACCTTAGTTTATTTAGCCCCTTCATTTTGAACACCATGCTACATGAATGTTGAAGCTGACACATTGCACAGTTCTCTAGACATCACTACACTGAGGCATTTTCTCAAGTTGTAGCAGTATGCTCTGCATAATGTCACTACAGAGACGCTAGTTGGGAAAATCAGTAACACACCTCTTAGAACAATATTGCCTGTTCTTGTACAGAAGTGGTATTTGGAGGCTGGAATCATAAGGAGACCTTGCATACCTGTACTTGTCTGAGATTATTTTTATGCTATAGCAAATGTGTCAGGCTCTTTTTAGCAAAAATTTAAAAATATTTTTGGTATTACTCTTAAACAGTTTAAGTTTTTGCAGTTTGGGGGATTCTAGGGCTAATATTCTACTTGAACTGAAGGAGGCTGTACATTATGGTTACTTCAGTATCTGGTTAAATACACTATAAAAATTAGAACATTATAAAAATGATGTGGAATTATTTTTATTGTGTAGTCTGTGTGGATTGAGGTATTCAGAAATACCAGCCATACAAATCGAATCTAGCTGGCAAAGGTCAACGCTGTAATGCTGAACCTATTAACGCTATTTAAAATTTTTTTTATAATTTGTCAAGGTTTTTGTCAAATGTCAGGTGAAGGGTTACATTTTTCTTAAAAGATTGGTGGTCCCAGTGTCATATTTCTTGAAACACATAACTGAATGATAGATTCTTTTTTTTAAATAAAACTTTACAACCTGCACATTTGTTATGTATACTAAATGATATGTTAAAATTAGGGTTTCCTTGCCTCTCTACAGTACACTAATCTGCCTAAAGGTGGTTGTTTTCATATTTATAGTGCTAATTATCATACCTACCTACTTTAAATTTTAGGTAGGAAAACGATCTGATTTAAATACAGACATGTATTTTTCTCACATTGAGTCATACGCAGAATGTAGTTCCAAATGTATTTCAGTACTATAATCACAGTATCCAACTAAAAATTAAGCTCTCTAGAATTGTACCGACCAAAATCTAGTATTTGGCATGATCTTGACAGGCTGGACCTGCAAGATATGGCTTGAATTTTAACCAGTTATCACATAATCTCTAATGATCATCTAGTTATCATAAATAATTTAAAAGGTTTTGTTGCTGAAAGCAGTAAGTGGTGCAGTAAGATAGTTAAGTTATTCAAAGAATGTTACCTTTCTTGCAAGAGTAATTTAAATACATGGGAAAGATTCTAGACTTTTTGTTTCTTGCAAAAACAGTGCCCTCTGCTGCTAGAAACCTTTTTCTGCTTACTCTCATTTTTATCGTGGCTTGAGCTCAGTGACAGAGTCTGGTGTGGATGAGGCTGGACAACTACTAACCAATAGAGTTAGGAATTTGTGCAAATGGTAAATAGAACATTATAATTATTTTAAGTAATATTAAGCATCCTTTTTTTTCATTTGACATTATAAAAAACATTTTGAATATCCTAGAAATGTCTTTAAGGTAATGCCAGTTTAAGATCTCTGTTATCTTTTGGCCAAGGAATTCAGGGTTTTCCAGCTAACTTCAGTGTGATAGATATTTATCAGGAGCTGCTCTGAATAAAAGGATATCAATTCTTTGAGTTGGAAACAATTTTAAACATGTAAGATGGGTATAAAATTTGCCAAAGGTAATTGAGTTTATTCTTCTTGAGGAAAAAAAGGCTTTCTGTTATTGTTGTTTTGCACAAAGTCTAAATTACTATTGGTTGAAACACAGCAGCTGTGGAGTTCAGTCCAGGCATAAAGACTAGATCCACTGTAGATGTAAAGGTTGCATGTTTCGGTCCTCCACCACCTTGCACTGTGGGCAGCACTATACCTGTGCGTTGTCTGAAAGCCTCCCATATATTCTGCAGCTAAATGATTGTCTGATAGCCTTCGCATTTAACAAACTTAGCATGAGGCTTTTTATATGCTACGTGATAGACAATTTCAGCTAGCCACATATTGTATGTGTGAGATTCATAAAGACTTTTCAATCATTCATTTCCATTTATCAACTGAAATTTTGTTTAGTATGTGAATTTTTTTGAAATGTATAGTGATAGGATGTTGCACTGGTGGCAATTCATCTTGGAGCATAATAAAATTAATTTGACCCAAATAGGCTAAAATGCTGTGTTTTTCTTTATTGTGAAGAGATTAAAATGGATAAAAACATTTTTTTAACTGTAGTTTATAGTAAAGGGTACACAGCAGTGAATGATGATGGTTGAAGTTTTCAGCAGACTGCATGCCCTGAGAGAGTGTGCCATTAAATAAACACGGTGAGCAAAAAGAATGTTACACCCTGTTCTGCTGGGAAATGGGACAGCTGCTCAGCTCCCTGGAAGCCCCTGCTGTGGTATACAGAGCATTCACATTGCAAGGTCAAACTGGAGCTGTTTAGCATACTGAAAATGTTGCAGTTCCCTAAAATCAGAATGATACTGCAGTTTACTGGTCATTTCAGTAAAAGCTAAATACAGCAGTTCATGTGGGACTTAAATAGCTCTTAATCAATGGTATCAAAGACAGTACATTTAAACAGGAACCTCAGTTTTGATAAATAGAATTTTCTGTGCTGCTGACTTTGGCACAAGTGGGTGTCTGAAGATTAAACTGAGTTATGGAATCTAGTGTGTAGGATGCTACAAAATGCCTTCTAAGAACTTTAGCCAAATTTAAACATTTCAATAATATGTTCTATTAAAAATTCGTTTCTGTTGTACAAATGTGAACACTTAAGAATGTATTAACCAAACTTTAAAAAAAAAATTTTTTTGAGAGACAAATGCCTCAGAATTGCACTTGTCACATTATATTTATCTAATCAAAGGAGAAATTCCTGAAATAACTTACTGTCCTTTAGAAATGGAGTTCTTAAAGGACAAGTATAGAAATAAGGTCTATTTATATACAATAGAAAATTCTTTATGGAAAAGAGAAATTTCACTTTGCACACTTATTTTACTGACATTGTTAGATTTTACCTCCAAAATACAGTATTCTCTTATAATCTCTTGGTCTTTCATTGATGGATTTTTTTTTTTAACCTTTGCTTTTTAGTGAAGCCCCTGGAAAAAGGTGTAATAAATTGGGTGTTATGGATATGATGGGGAGCATACTTTGCAGTTAATGCTAAGACTGCCTTTACGTCTACATGTGATACACGTATCCTCCTTTGCATGAAGGAGCGCGTTGAAAATTTTGGCTTTATAACAAAACATGTCTACATAAATCAGCCATATCTTTTTTTTTTTTTTAGTCTATATCAGTGGTCATCCTAACTATTGATGCAGTATTTAATTTCACACAAGTCCAGTGTAAATCTAAACTGGTCTGTACCACCATCAAGATTGACAAATCAATATATATGAACAGCACACAATTTTTTTTTAGTAAAATTTAACAGTTAAGAAGCTTATAGGTGGTTTTTAGGTTAGTGAGGTATTTGTGTATTGGGGAATTTCTAGTAAATTTGAAGTCCCTTAATTTTTTAACAACCACAAACTTTTTTTTTAAGATTTTATTTATTTATTTGAGAGAGAAAGAATGAGAGACAGCATGAGAGGGAGGAGGATCAGAGGGAGAAGCAGACTCCCTGCTGAGCAAGGAGCCTGATGCGGGACTTGATCCTGGGACTCCAGGATCATGTCCTGAGCTGAAGGCAGTTGCTTAACCAACTGAGCCACCCAGGTGCCCCCACAAACATTTTTTATACTTACTTTAGTAATGATTTTCTTTAAATTCTCTATTCAAGAGGAAGTTCCATTTTAACAGTATCAAATTATGTTATGGAACTGGAATTTCCAGGTGTCATATTGATGTCACTTTCTGTCTTGGAATGGTTGGCATGTCTTGACCTGAGTTCAGTTTTATCTTGGTTATGGCTAGATGTGTGAGGATTTTCAACCAAGCCCAAGTCTAAGAATTTTTAAGCATCAATATCGCCATATTACCCAATTACTTATTAAGACTGAATAGGTGATGGACATTAAAATATAATTGCAGTCAGGTAGATCCCCTCCCTCCTTACATCTAAAATACTTACTTCACAGCTGAAAGACAGCTGCAGACCATCGAGTTCCATCAGGCCAACTCATCAGACTGGTAGAGGGGCTTGCCTGCGTTCTGTTAGAAGGAGCTAATATTAGAATTCAGCTTTGACTACTAGTTCAGTTGCTTTTTTCTGTGCACCATAATACTTTTATCCTTGTTTTCTGTATTTTTCTTAAATTACCAATAAGTTGCAGATTTACTTTGCTTCTGAAAGATTTATGGCTATAAATTTCACTCTTTCGCACTTGTCATCTGGGTGTTGATAGAAGCCACTGGCATCCTGTTCTCGTCTCTGCCGAGGAAAGCTGGCTTGCTTTGAGGAACCGGCCTCTGACTCTGAAGCATGTGATCGTATTTTGGCTCAGTGATGGCGGACACCCTACATTGTTCAAGCATTCGGTCATCACAGGACACTCTTGTCATTTAGTGCTGGGTTAATAAAATTGAGCTTTATATTCTACATTGAAATTATTTTTGTTTATTTCCTATGGATGTAAAGAGCATTGCCTTTATTTAGACGTAAGTATTTTGTAAACCCTTAACACTCAACTTGCCTGACAGAAAATCGGTTTGAGAATGTATTAATCTTTCTGTATAATTTTCAGTCAACAACTGCACTGTCAATTTAAAGACCGGGAGTTCTTCCAAGAGGACAGGGACAAACCGAACACTTTAAATCCAGGTTCCTGGTTTTCTTATTAGTGAGAGGGGAGATTCTAATTTAGTAGCATGTATTTCATCCTTAGTGAAAAAAACGCAGGAAAATAAAGCTTGTATTCCAGTGTTGGTAGTGTTGAAAGAAACTAAGTGAAAGGAAAAGGCATCGTCAGGTCCAGTTAACTATAGGAAGACATAAAGCTGTTCATAATGTCTCAATTCTGTAGAGATCTGTTAAGAGAACTCTAATTAGTTCCTTAAATCAGCTTCTGAGCCTAAAAAGAAACAACTTTATTTTTTTAGTTAATGTGGGAGTCTAAGGAAGCAGAGAATAGAAAAGAGAATTTGCTTGCAAGCAGATTTTTATTTAAAGATTGGGATTGGGAAAACATTTAGCAAGTAAAATTAAGTGTTAAAATCTCCATTTTGAAGGGTGATAACTAGTTAAGCTAATGAAATCGGGTATTTGGTTGATGTTTGCTTATTAAGCAAGGATATAGGGGTGCCTGGGTGGCTCTGGTTAAGCATTGGACTCTTGATTTTGCCTCAGGTCATGATCTCAGGGTCTTGGGATCGAGTCCTGCCTCGGGCTCTCAGCATGGAGTCTGAGATTCTCTCTTTCCCTCTGCTCCTCCCACTCACGCATTCCCTCTCTCTCTGGCTCTCTCTTCCTAAGATAAAATCTTTAAAAAAATTTTTTTAAATTCTAAAAAAACTAAAAAGCAAGGCTATAAATGTAGAAAAGCCATCTTTTTTTAAATTGCATATTCTGCTAAAACTTAAGTGACCTTGTTTTGTCCCTGGTTGAATGCTTGGATGCTATAGAACATGTTTGTAAGGACCTGATGCCTAAAAATGTTCTGAAAGTTTGAGTTGATCCTGAGCCAGACAATTGCTTTAGGTTTGCATCACCAGAGCCCAGACGTTTACAGCCACCATGTCTGGGTCAGTCTGATGTGGTTTAAGCCATGAGACTGGGTGTGGAGAGCTCCGTGTGCCACGGAGCCCTCTC